TCGCATTGAAATGACCCTCCGCGTGATTTCCACCTCTCGTGTTCGCACTCATGGTTCTCGATCAAGTTTTGCCTTTCTCTCGCCACACGAATTGCCCTTGTCACATGATTGAGTTGCGGGGCATCGGCGTCCCGATCCACGAGGGCATTGGCACGAACAAGGAGGCGGTTTTCGTGCCACTGGTCACAACGGCATGACTTCCAGCGCAGTCCGCACGCATAGCAAAATTGGGCTCCGCATCGACAAGCTAGGTAAGACTAGATGTCAGTATAAATGGCTTCTCAATCATCAAGTCAAACAAAACACTTACTTATGTGATTGCATCCATAATCCAACTCCACGAGCCGGCGGCAGGAGTAGCACCGCTGCCACCCATTCTCCGCAGCGACACAAAGGAGCTCTTGCGCAGCGGCATCCTGGGGGCACTCATCATCCTTGTGTGAGGCTCCCTTACACAGCATGCACGTCGTCTTCTGGCAGCGAACACAAGTTGCCACGTCTCCGCCGATGGATTTTGCCGGTATAAAGGCAGAACATGTCGACTGATGACAGTAAGTTCTGTTCGGCGTCTCCATCTCCGTCTTCTTGGCCAGAAATTCCCCGGCAAGCTTCGGCGGCAGGTAGGTCCGGCAGGAGTCGAGGGGAATTGGTTGGCTGCAGCAGCGAGGAGGAAATAGGGATTCGTCGGACAATGATGCCCTGAAAAGGCCCTCGAGACACACGCGGCAGTACTGATGAGAGCAAGGGCAGCGACAGACGTCCAAGTGAGAGACCGCTTCACCACAGCTGATGCACTCGATTAGTCGGAGAGTCGGCCGGCTGGCTGCCCATGCGGAAGACTCAGGAGGGTGTTCCTCAGGAGACACAAGGTAGAGAGCCTCGAATCTGGCCAGAAGTTGCTCGTCCAGGTCTGGCACGGTCGAAACGGGGCTAGCAGTCTCCGGTGGCACGCCCTGTGGGTTCAGACTGCTGGCAAACACTCGGTCCGAATTTGCTTGCTCCTCTTCCTGCATGATGGCACGAATCGCGTCGCCATCGAGCTTGACGGCTTGGGCAATGCTCCCGCACATGTATCGGTCAGCGGCGAGATATGGGTACTCCGCCAACTCGTCCTCGTACAGTTTGATGGCGAATGTCAAGTCGTCCGTCTCCCCTTCGGGCGCCTTGCCTTTTCTTCCGTTCTTGAGCGTCCCTAGCTCCTCAGCCTGCAGTTGGAGAGCAAGCTCATGGTCTGGTAAGGGCAATTCGTCGGGAGACATGCTGAAAACTGGAGGCAGTGTCTGAAGCCAGTTGGCTAGTTTGTGATCTGCTTGCACGTCAATCATGACGTTGCCAACTATCCTTTGTGGCGACCCTCGAAGTTGTCCTCCCAACTCGGCTTGCAGGTTCGACACGCCATGACTGTAAGCTGTAAGGGAGTGAGCACGCACCTTGTACTGAAGAAGAGAAAGGGACAAGTACTTAGGAAAGAGGGAGAAAGAAGAGACCCAATTTTTAGGCAGATGCTGACTTTCATCTTTGTTTTTTCGCTCCCCTCCATAAATCCGTTTGTTGGCCACTTAACATCTTCTGACCTTCATTCTAACGTATCAACACCATGCAGAGCACCTGTCCACTCATAAAGCCTCGGAATGGTACAGACTGCTGCAGCTGTCCTTCCGTTTTGCGGGCCTCCTGATTTTACCTCATGCTGGTTGGTTTCCACCTGCTCTGACAAACGCCGGTCTGCGGCAGAGCATCAACTGGAAAAGTGAAGCGGAGAGGGGAGGGGGTGGGTGTGTGTGTCTGCTAAACATGGCGGCATAATATTGGAGCTGGAGAGCACTTAAGAGCCCGAGCTGCCCAGATATTCCTCAATTTGCGATGTGTTTCAAGGCTGGAAAGGAATGTTTGGAGAGCGCGATGCATCACCACGAGTTGAAAGCTGCAGACTGGAAGTAAGTGGTGGAATTGGAAACAGTGGGTCTGGCGACGACAAGCTTTCGCCAAGCCAATTGCGGGGGGTGGGGCAGCGAATCTTTGGATAGCCGACATGATGCCATGGTGCTGGCTGTGCCGGTTTCCCGCGATTGAGATTCGAATGAGACATCCGATGGCATGTGTCAAGATGCTGGTAACCCGGAGGCCAGCCTGACATTTTCAGAAGACCATTGCCGTTGCCAAGACTCAGAAGGATTATCTGCCAAGAGATAACAGAGCACGACGGCAACCCACACTAGTGATAATCAACGCCCCACGTACACCCGTGCTCAATTTGTGATAAGACGTGGAGTCCCAGGAACATCATTCTCCACAATGCCGAGTGGAGGAATGCGGTTCTTGCAAGGTTGCAATGGGAATGTCCTCAAGGCGGGACCGGACGTGAGGACAGGAGAGCACGACGCGAAGCTTCGATCCATCTCGCAGCCAAAGTCACCGATTCTTTAAGCCTGTCACGACAATCCACCACGGCCCCCATCAATGGCATCTCCAATCTCCCCCAGACGCTCCCCCAAGGCTGGGGTAATGACCCATCATTTGCCAGATAGCCGAGCGCCAAACATCTTCCCAACCTTGGGCTTATCTCCGCGACCGGTCACGTCTCGTGTCATTCCGCCTTGCTCGTCACAACTCGAATATCAAGAAACATAATGATACCAGGCTTTCCGAACCTCTTACTCAACAATCCCATCCACAAGACTCATTGCGACGCGATCTGCCCGAATGAGACGACAGATTGCCGAGATCCCGCGCGGCAGAGCTTCTGGGGATCAATCAAGACCACGCGAAACTGGGGTCTGACCCCCACTAACCCAAAGACACGGCCCAAACCGGGACCTTATCAGTTGCCCACCCAATCCGTTGATGCTGCCCCCTTGGCAGACGATGATGGATGTCCGAGAAAGGAATGGAGATTGTTTGCTGCTGATGATTGTCGATGGTCTTATCAGTCCGCAGCATCGAGATGAGGGTGTGGTTGACCCCAGGGCCGGCTCAGCGCGAGAGACGTGCCCGTCTATTTGACCCTGCCGATCCCGCCTGAGCTGGGACCGATATATTCTCCCCTAACATTCATCTGAGACAGGGCACTTTTCTTTTGGGAAAGAGAGACATTCGATAGCTTTGAGACACTCCGTTTAAGAGTCTTCTCAAGGCGGTCCTCGCCTGAACAGTACCCCCCATCCTTCACCATGGCCGACGAATCCGTTCCCACGTATGAGGGCGGCGACTTCGCCTGGATCCTCACCTCCGCCGGGCTTGTCCTCCTCATGGTCCCCGGTGTGGGCTTTTTCTACAGCGGCCTCGCCCGCCGCAAGTCCGCCCTGGCCCTGATCTGGCTAGCCCTCATATCCATCGCTGTCACCGGCTTCCAGTGGTTCTTCTGGGGCTACTCACTCACCTTCTCCCATACGGGCAGCGCCTTCATCGGCGACCTCTCCAACTTCGGCCTGATGAAAGTCCTCGATCAGCCCAGCGTCGGCAGCAGCAAAATCCCAGACCTCCTCTTCTGTCTCTACCAGGGCATGTTCGCAGCCATCACGTACGTCCCCGCCCTCAACTAACCCAATACTATGTACTAACGGTCTCACAGCGCAGCCCTCGCTATCGGCGCCGCCGCCGACCGCGGCCGCATGCTCCCCTGCATAGTCTTCATCTTCATCTGGACGACCATTGTCTACAACCCCATTGCCTACTGGACATGGAACGCCAACGGGTGGTCTTTCAAGATGGGCGGTCTTGACTTCGCGGGCGGCACGCCCGTGCACATCTCCTCGGGCGCCGCGGCGCTCGCTTACAGCCTTATGCTCGGCAAGCGCACGGGGTACACCAAGGTTCAGGGCCTGCCGTACCGGCCGCATAATGTGACGCACGTGGTGCTAGGGACCGTGTTTCTGTGGGTGGGGTGGTTTGGGTTCAATGGTGGGAGTGCGCTGGCTGCGAACTTGAGGGCTGTGATGGCGTGTATTGTGACGCATATTGCTGCGTCGGTGGGGGGGGGGGTTACGTGGTGTCTTTTGGATTATCGGTTGGAGAGGAAGTGGAGTACTGTTGGGTTTTGCAGTGGTGCGATTGCGGGCTTGGTGGCGATTACGCCGGCGGCTGGGTATGTGCCGCCTTGGGCGGCGGTGGTGTTTGGTGTGGTGGGTGGGGTGGTGTGCAACTTTGCGACAAAGCTGAAGTTTGTGTTGGGGATTGATGATGCGCTGGATATCTTTGCTGAGCATGGTGTGGGCGGCATTGCAGGGAACTTGCTGACGGGCCTGTTTGCTTCGTAAGTTGTCTGACTTACCAAGCTGGCGAAACTTCACTAACACTGATCAGGGACTACATCGCCTTCCTCGACGGCTCCAGCGTCATCCCCGGTGGTTGGGTCAACCACAACTACATCCAGCTCGGCTACCAGCTTGCCGACAGCGTCGCCGGCTTCTCCTACTCCTTCGTCATGACCTGCGTCATCCTGTTCCTTATGAACCTGGTCCCGGGTCTCTCTCTCCGTGTCACTGCCGAGCAAGAGGAGATTGGCCTTGATGACAGCGAGCTCGGCGAGTTTGCCTACGACTATGTCGAGATTACTCGCCACATCGACGGGGCCTCGACTGGGGTTACTGGCAGCCCGGCTCACAGTTTGAAGGGAGGAGCTCCGGAGAAGATCGTCTGATTTGGTAGTCTTCTGGAGGAAGTTAGGAACGTTGACGATACTAATGGAGGGGGAATTTGGAGGGGGTGGAGAAACTGGGCATGATGAACTTGTCTTTTCGATTTTGATACCTCACTTGTTACGCACGATACCAACAGAACAACTTAATGTTATATCTCTCAAATCCCATGATCAAAGTGTGGTCGGTTGAGGGAGGTCATCTTGAGGAACACAAGTCGAACTTGACCTCACCTTACAACTGCCCTTGCGGCCTTTTATATCTTTCAGTCATTTCTGGTAAGCATCGCAAAAAGAACTCTAGCATCTATCTGTACAAGGAGTGAGCTTGAAATGAATCAATGGGGCAAAAATGCAAAAGCAATGGGAACTGTGAGGCTCGAACTCACGACCTCAGGATATCCCAATCTATGATTGGATCATACAAGCGTATGAGACCTGCGCTCTTCCAACTGAGCCAAGCTCCCCGTTGATTAATCAAATCTTTCTTAACACAGCTTATCAATGGTATTCACAATTAATGATAGTTGACCGCCAAGCTGAATGACGGCATTGCCACCCAGGCAGCCAGAAACGGCAGGAACACGAATTGACTCCAACAGGAGAATGAAACACAGAACGAATCAAGCGACGTCATCAAAGCTCTAGTAAGTTTGGTATTTTATCCCGTGCGAGATCCACTCATCTATGCATGTTTATCGCATTCCCAAACTCTCAGACACTCATCGAATTCAAGAGACATCAACCTTCCGAAAGAGGAAACATCCACCCTGACTTACAACTCATTTGATCGACACAAGATAACTCAACAGTCTTAAAAGCATCCACAACGACGCTACTTCAATCAAATACAATGGATTCTGCAGGCGCAAAATCTGTGGTGTCGAATGACATGAAGGAGCTCACCGAGGGCAAGGAGACCATCACCAATCAGATCCGCGGCCACAAAGCCAATATCTCGAACCCAAGTTAGCATCTTCGGGTTTGGAAGTTGATTGCCTTTTCGTACTAACATGGAGCACAGATATTAGCGAGAAGTCCAAAGAAAGTAGCAAGGAAATTTTGGAGGAGCTCGGCGGAGATGACACTCTTGAGTTGCACAAGAACAAACCGATCAGCAAGGACGCAGCTGAGAATTTGTATGGGAGCAGGGCTGCTGCGGCTTAAAGTTAAACAACCATATTTTTGAAGGAGAAAAGAGACAAGGACGCAAGGCAGTTTTGGAGCCTCGCTTTAAAGTAGGCTTGGTGGAATCAAATACCCAAGGATGCAAGTCATATGCAACAGGCGTTGACGGCTTTTATACTTCTCCAACTCTAGTTTTGTTTTGAATCGTACCTCAGGGTGCAGAAGCAACAACACCGTCCTGTCTCAACATGGGCTCTCAAAGGTATTTTTATGCTCAGTTCCTATGGTAAACAGAGGATGCGAGCGTGAAATAAGTGGCCACTTTCAATCATTGGATGTGCATCAAGAGTTCATGACTTCATCATCCATTAAGACTAGAGACAGTGTCCACACCCAGCTCCCGACCTACAACATTCCGCTGATACTTCGATATCCAACAATTACAACAACAACGCCGCCAACCCAACAGCCGCAGCAGCCACATTAAACCCAGTTGCAGCCGCCCCAGCAGTCGAAGCTGTCCCCGTCTCCGTCCTTGTCTCAGTCATCATCGTAGCACTCGTCATCGTTGGACTCCCAGTTTTAGCACTTGCCGTCGTAGCACTCCCCACCCCCAGTCTCCCCGCCCCCTCTCCCTCATACAACCCGCAAACCGCCTCCTGCGCAAGCGGGCAACTCTCCACCAAACAAATCGCCTGCAACTCCTTCCCCTTGCCATTCACCACCTCCACCGGCGGCGCGCAGCGCTGGCCAAAAACCTCGCTGAGCGCCTTGCCGACGATGGTGATGTCGGCCTCGGATACGCCGAAAGAGGCGGCCGCGAGTGCGACTTGCTGGATGAAGTAGCCGTTCTGAGCCGGGTCAAGACGCATGAACTTGTGCACTTTGAACATGGAGGGGTTGCCGGCGTAGGGGGCGAAGCCTGGCATGCCTTGGGTGGTGCAGCCGAGGAGGGTGCCGAAGAATTGGTAGAGGTGGGTCATTAGGCGGCTGGTTTTGAGACACTATCAGTAATTATTCTCAATGCACAATGGAGATGAGAGGCTAGAAGATAGGGAGGCTTTAGGGAAGGGGGTTTATGGACCTACTACTGGTTTGAGGTCTCATCGTTGGCAGGCTTGTTCTCCTTCAGCGGGTCGGCACCGCCACCGTCGAGGAAATTGACCGACGTGCCCTCCTTGTCCCCGCGGTTAGTTGTCTTTTGAGAGCCGTCAAAGTAGCTGGCCAGGTTGACGTCTTTGCCATCGAACTTTCCTGGGGCCAGGATTCCGGGCACGACGACGCCGACGTTTGGCTGGGTGTCTGTAAAGGAAGGTTGTTAGTCGCGTGTTTGGGAGACGCCACCGTGGTTATGGTGGAGGGGAAAGGGAGACGCGAAGAGGGAAGCTTACAGTTGCCAATGACAACAGTGTTGACGAGAGCCGTCAGCAAGGTGTACTGCTTGTCGGCTGTGTTTTCCTTGAAGAGGAGAGTCGTGTAGTGGTCACAGATGGATGTGCTGTCTGGCCGTTGGGAAACGACAGAGCTGACAGCCACAGCAGCTAGGGTTGCTCTGGTGAGGCGCATGATTACTGAGCACGCTTGCAACAATAAAGAGCTTTGTGACGATGGGATAGGTCAAGAAGAGGAATTGTGTTGTCGGTGGTCGAACTGCGGGCAGAGGGATGGCACAGCATGTATTTGTATCACAGCAAGCAGTTCATGGGAAGGCTTCAGCTCGGCATGGCCAAGAACCGGTGCCTTGGAACTGCAAGTTGAAGGGAGGAACTTTGGCTTCGTCAATTCGTCCTTGCAGGGTGTTCGTCCAGCCCATTGTTGGGACAACGCTCCGCACTGTGAGGCGGGCAGCGGCCCCTGACAACATCTCTAAGAAGGAGGGGAGTACAGGTATCCAGGTTTCTTCGTAAGGATGTCAGATGTGAATTAACCACAGCCAAAGCCAGGGGCTCCGTCCCGTTGCTCCAAGTCCCTGTACTGACCACACAAGTGTAGGGGTATAAGTGATCCCAACTTCCCCGCCCAGTGTCGAAGCTCAGCCTCACTCGGCCAGCGTCAAGGCACCATGCGTTGGCCCGCGACAGGACTGTTTCGACGCACCACTTACTGCTTCGAGGCGTTATCCGGCAGTTTTGCCGTCCTGGCGAATCGAGTGGGTATGATTTCAAATCGTTTATAAGCAAGCCCTGGGGTTCGATGCGCTCTAAAAACCCCTGCGGCATCGATCGCGACGCTAGCGAATGGTTTGGCAGATCTCACGATCGAGACCCCGGGTTGAGAAACTCGATCGTGATCCTTGGGCCGTTACACGACCATCAGAGTGGTGTTGGCTTGGCGACTAGGCCTCTTGTGTTTGTCTGAACTTTGAAAGCTGGAAGGGGGCAGATCTTCCCCCCTGCTCCGGATATGAAAGTGGCCGTACCTTGGCATGAGTCTCATGATTGGGTCTAGAAGTGAGCAGCCGGATGTGCTGCCTTCCGGGCAAACACCAGGCGCAGCCTCAATTGAACGGCATACAAATCACCGTCCAAGAGCGGGTCATGACTTTCGTGGAGATGAACCGGTTGTTCTCATTGAAGTTATGGCTGACAGGAATGTTTGGGATCTCATCCGTTGAAAACGAAAAACCCAATTCAAAAGCCATGGCGAGGGGCGCGTACCCGGCGGGTTCTGGAGGCAGGATGAGCATTAAGATGCTTGCACTGAAGTTGCACACTTTAAACGGTTGATCTGAACCAAAAGATATGACTCACAGCCAGGAAACAGCAAGCAAGCCGACGGCAAAGATGCATTTGAACAGAAAAGGTACGATGGCAATGGCGATGATGGCGGTAGCGTGTGTCGAAAATGCCTCTTCATCGCGAATACGCGGGACGAGTTCAACAGAGGGGATAACCGAACCCTCCCGGCCTCTGTCGCCGGCGCCGTTTGCAGTTTAAGGTTGTGAGGAGGCGGCCCCGGCCTGGGAACACAAACGTGATGTCATCGCTTCCAGTGTGTTTGTGACCGTGTGCTTGGTAGCGAGTCACTAAAACCCCAAAAAGGCGGAGTTGAATTCCATCATGTCTCACCTTGTTCCTTTGAGTTTTTGTCAGTGCAGTTGGCATTGTGCTGGGCTGCGTACCTCTCTCCCCAGGCAAGGGTTTTAGGCAACATCAACTGCCATTCACACCCTTCCATCGTTTCCAGGAGCCCTTCATGAAGGCATCCCATCACCCCAGGAAGACGGGGGTTCAAAGCATCAACTTGTAAGCCGAGGTTCTTTTATTACCTGGATTGGCGACTGGCACGGCCAGCCGTCCTGTGTATCAAGAGGCCAGCCACGCAGAACAAATGCGGTGCTGTGATTGAGAAACAGACCGGAGCAATCGCTCCTGACCCGGCTCGGCCAAACGCATCGAGGCGCAGTTGCGCAGCAACTTGAATCAGACGCAGGCAAATTAGACGGCTGAAGAGCGAATTACGAATTAAGCCTGCAAAATGAACACGACTGACCAAAGCGATGTTGGCCACAGAAAAAAACCCGAGACACGCCACGACTTCTTCCCCATGACGCCACGCAAGGCGGCGTCGACAGTGAAAAAGATGGTTTGACAGCAAAAATTACGGCCGGAACGGCCCCGAAGGACAATTCATGACAGATAGCACCACGATGTGCAATGCAGGCTCTCCGTCATATGGCAGGGTTTTCTTGATCTCCCTGCAATCAACCAAGGTAAGTATGAAGAAGAAAAGAGAACTGTAGGAAGAATGGGCGGGGAGTCGCTAATAAATACACTTCTAAGAGTGGTCTGTGCACGGTGGCAATTTGCAACTGCTTGCACGTGACAGGCATTGAATTGTGGGGCTCTTCTTTCTCCATCCAGAAGCAACGACCACGACTGCAACGACGACAACTGCGGTCTGCAAAGAGGCGAACGGGGCAGCTGCTGGTCAGATTTCTTGGTGGCCGATTGTAATTTTTGTCCAGTAGAATAACACGACTGCCTCCATCTAGCCCGAAAAACCGACGTATGGTTTTTCCTCTCCTTGACCGTCCGACCGTTTCGTCTGACCCTAACCCTCCAATCCCCTCCATCCTCCCCATTCTCAACCGCCCTCCAAGTCAACCACACATACTTCCCCTTGTCGCTATACGACGTGAAGCGAATCTCCTGCGGTGGGTCCTCGACCATTGGCGGGCTCCTTCCCGGTGTGCTCATCAATCCATACTGCCCCAGCCGCAAGCAGTCGACGTTTGGGATTGAGTTCGGAAACTGCCAGATCTGCACCCTTCGTTAACAACCCCTTTTCTCCAACCCAACCCAGGGTCGGGACTACTATTATGCCAGATAAGAAAGGG